AGGCAAAATAAATTTAAAATAAAAATAAATCCTTATATAGTCATCACACAACTTGGACAGTAGTAATACAGTTAATCTTACTTCATCATTCCTTTCCCACATGAAACAAATTCCATACATCTTACGTCACCTGTTAATACCTCCCATATGTATCACTGATAGACAAGGACTTTGTTAAATCTTAAATACCTTTACCCCACCTAACGAATAAACACTCATGCTCAAATATTCCTGTCTCAAAATTGTCTCTAAACTCTGTATGTAAATACAAAGAAACAGCTCCGAGTGTACATTAGTCAAAACAACATAATTAGGGGAGGGAGCTAACCCACATAACTTGTGTATAATTCATGGGGTGCATATGCTTAGTCTATGTGGTTTTCTGGTGGCACTGAGGTTTGAGCTCATGGCCTCATGTTTGCCAGGCAGGGGCTCTTAACATGAGTCACTCTGTCAGCCTTATCCTTAGTCTAAAAGCAAGAAGACATGCAAAGAAATTTTGAAGTTTTGATTCAGTAGGTTGGCTGCTGCTGGTTGTGTACATGTAGCTACTCTGCATCTATTTTATATACACTGTAGGACTGAGCAAATGAGATATGAAGTATGGATGTTTTGAGAGCCAAGCATTTCTTTGTGAAGAAAAATACAGGGCAGGGCGGGGGAGGCAAGGAAGAATGTTTGTATGTTATTGGAACTAGAGGGGTCAGTCAGAATTCATGATAAACACCGTGCGTTCATTCAGACAGTCCCCATTTAGTACATGATGCCATGGAATGAATGCCTTTGCACCCTTCTTTACCAGTGCATTTACAGATAAGATTCCTAGGAAGGGGCTCGTTAGGTCAAAGTGTAAAACACACAATTTTGCTAGATATTTCTCTCCATAGAAGTTGTAGTATTTTACATTCTTACAGCAATGAATGAGTGCTGCTTCAACAGACTATTGTCCAACTTGTGTAGTTTTAGGGGGGTTTTGTAATTATTTTTGTTGGATTGTTGGTTGGTGGGACTGGGGTTTGCACTCAGGGCTTCACAACTGCAATGCTCTTACCACTTGAGCCACGCCTCCACGCCAGTTTTGCTAGTAGTTTACAGGCATAAGACACTAGCACGCAGCTATTGCTTTTTAAAATCCAGCTGGTAGCTGGGCATGTGTGTACTTCAATCATTTTCACCCCCATCACCCTGTCTATTCCTCCTCTCCCCTGCCACTGGGTCCCACCTGCAAACAGTCCCACTTTTACAATCATGTCTCTATGTATCTATATCTACAATATAGATAGCATACATACATATCTATCTATACATATTTATGGAGACAGATATAGGTCTAGACTCCACATATGAGAGGGAACATGCAATATTTGTCTTTCTGTGTCTGGCTTATCTCACTCAACATGATAACCTCCAGTTCCACCCATTTTCCTGCAAGAGAAATGATTTCATTCTTCTTTATGAGTGAAAAATACTCTAGCCTGTATATGTGCTGCGTTTTCTTTATCCATTCATTAGTTGTTGGGCACCTAGGCTGTTTCTATAGCTTAGCTACTGTGAACAGTGCTGCTATAAACATGGGTACGCAGGTGCCTCTACTGTATCCTGACTTATGTTCCTTCAGATACATGCCCAGGTACATAGTAAGAGCATATGGTAAATCAAATGTCAGTTTTTTGAGGAACCTCCATACTGATTTTCATAGTGGCTACACTAATTTACATTGCCACCAACGGTGTTTAAGGGTTCCTCCCCCTGACCCCATCCTCACCAGCACTTGTTTTCTTAGTGACAGCCACTGTGACTGGGGTGAGAAAGGTCTCAGTGTCATTTTGATTTGCTATAGTGTTTTAACAATAGAGGATGTAGGCCAGGCACTATAGGCTCATGCCTATAATCCTAGCTACTTGGGAGCCTGAGATCAGAAGCATCTTGGTTGGAGGCCAGCCTAGGCAAACAGTTCAAGACTCTATCTCAAAAATACCCAACACAAAATAAGGCCAGCAGAATGGCTGAAGCAGGAGACCATCCCTGCCTAGTAAGCTTGAGAACCTGAGTACTGCCAAAAAAAATAGAGAGAGAGAGTGTATAATGTTTTAGTATCCAACAGATGAGTCACTCTCCTCAAGATACTTCATTTTTCAGGGTTTTTTCTTTCTTTTAAATTATTATTGTTCGTGCTCACTTCGGTAGCACATATAATTGAAACAATACAGAGAAGATTAGCATGGCTCCTGCACAAGGATGACATGCAAATTCATGAAGCATTAAAAAAAATTATTATTGTTCTTTGGTGTTCTGAGAGAGGGTATTGCTATGTAGCCCAGACTGGCCTTGTCCTTGAGGACTTCCTGAATTAGCTTCCCAAGTGTGAGGATTATGCATGCACCGCAATGCAGGTGCTTTTCCCCTCACTCCTGCCACATGCTGGGGATTGCACTCAGGCCTTGAGCATGCTAGGCAAGTGTTCTACCACTGAGCTATATCCACAGACCCCTTTGTCCATTCTTGACTGCTTATTCTCCCAAATGAAACTTATAATCAATTTTTCTAACTCCAGAAAAAAAAGTCTGAAAATTTATAAATTTAACCTAGGGAAAATTAACATGTTTATGGTATCAGCATCCTCAAGATACTGAATCTACCAAGAGTCAGTGGCTCACGCCTGTAATCCTAGCTACTCAGGAGGCAGAGATCTGGAAGATCAAGGTTCAAAACCAGCCCAGGCAAATAGTTTACGAGACCCTATCTCAAAAAACCATTCACAAAAATAGGACTGTTGGCGTGGCTCAAGGTGAAGGCCCTAAGTTCAAGCCCCAGTACTGCAAAAAAAATAAACAAAGATACTGAATCTGAATCTTCCTATTCAACATATGGCCGGGTCTGTGGTGCACACCTGTAATCCCAAATGCTTGGGAGTGAGGCAGGAGACAATTCAAGGCCAGCTGTACAACTGAGCAATACCCTGTCTTCAAAATAAAATAAAATAGGGCTGGTGGAGTGGCTCAGTGGTACAGTGCCTGCCTAGAAAGCACGAGGCCATGAGTTCAAACCCAGTACTGCCAAACAAAATAAAATAAAATAAAAAGACTAAGGATGTTAGTTCAGTGGTAGAGTGCTTGCCTAGGATGTACAAGGTCTTGGAATAAATACCCAGTACAAAAAAAAAGAAAAATGATAAATATATTTATTTGTTCATACTGTCTTTTGTGATTGTTTCAGGAAATAGTTTGTCCTTATGTTTTATAAACTTAAGTTTATGCCTGGATTTATTTATGTATTTTAAAATTATACATGATGCTTTAGTTTTAATCCAGAAAGTTCCCCAAAGGCCAAAATGTTAAAGGGTTGGCTATAAGGAGGTGGTAGAACCTTTAAGAGGTTGGGCCTAGTGGGAGGTCTTTAGGTCACTGGGGCCATGCCCTTGAAGGGGACTATAAGACCCTGGCTCCTTCCTCTTCCTCTCTTTGGCAATCTGGCTATGAGGTGAATAGTATTCCTCTGCCAGGTGCTTTCTTCCATGCTTTGCAGACAGTTCCAATTGATCACAGACTGAAACCACTAAAAGTGTGAACAAACGTAAATCTATTCTAAGTTGATTATGTCAGGTATTTGTTATAGTGACAGATATCTGACTAACACACATGGGGTTTTCTCTTCCATCGTATCATGTGACTGTTGTTTTGGTTTGGGGATATTTTAAATAAATCTATTAACTTTTTTTTTCAATCAACAGTTTTATACATGTCTTTTTGTGGCTGCATGCACTTTCTTAGGCAATAAATCTGTAAGTAGAATTGCTGGGCTGAGAGAGGCATATATTTAACTATTAGAGACAACAGTATTCCAAAGTTGCTGTAGCTTTTTACACTACCACCAGCACTGTATGAGTGTTTCAAGTGCTTCCTATTCATCAATTGAAACTGTGAGTTTTTAAAATTTTAGTCAAGGCTGTGTGTAGCTTAGAAGTAGAGTGCATGCATGAGGTCCTGGGTTCAATCTCCAGCAAGTGAAAATACATCTGACCTTTGTCAGATGTTCTCTCTGTCCTTACAGAATCTTTAATTAGGTAGTACTCAGTAACTACTCACTGAATAAATAAGTGAGGACCATTCTCTGCAGTAGGACCAAAGACTGGATTCTAGGATTATCATTCAGATAACTTTAGGAACTTCAGGGAAAGGGCTTTTAAGAGATATGCTAGTGAACAGGGAAATGCACTCGTCATATCCAAAGTAGAAGCTAATCATTAAATAAGGAAAAAAGACTATATAAATCAATTCCAAAAGGTTGTGTCCATTTATGGACATTATTTTGCCTCTCCTATTTATGCTTAGAGACCACAGCTATTAACGAAGCAGTTAATAGTTAGAAGGTAGGTTAGTATTACTCCAGCTGCCTCTCTGGAAACTAGCTTGGGAAACCAACAGTAAACATATACTAGGAATAAAGTTAAGTAGTATGGAATTTTGTCTGTTCTTCCTATTCGGCCAGTGGCCAGATGCTTACAGAGGTTGGGTCGAATCGGCCGCGGGGAAGAACGCTGCCCAAGGGGCAGGTTCTTTGGCCATTACCAAGACCTTGAAGGGACACCAGGTCAGCTCAAGATTCGCTTCCTTCCACGCCCCGCTGCCGCCTTGCTCCCGATTGGCTGCTCGGAGACATCACAGACAATACTAGACGGCGATTGGCTAGGCTGGGGGAGCCGAGCCCGCAGATTCCATGGGCTCCCGAGTCCTGGCGGAGGAGTCCAGGGACCACGGCCGGCAGTACCTACCTCGTGCGACTCCGCACGGCCACTACTGGGCTGGGACCTCAGCTCCAGCCCTTGGCTTATGCTCCATCGCAACGAGCTCAAAGTCCTGTCCTCATACACGCACCCTGCTCACCCTGTTCGGGGCCGCGGCCATGCGCATCCTCTGCCAGCGCCTTTCCTCCCCTGTGCGTCGCTACATCCGCACCATCCCTACCGCCCAAGGTGCGCAAAAACGTCCGAGTCCCTTTACCTGGACGACCCTGCTGGCAGACGCCATCTTGCTGCCCATCATGACCCCCGAGAAGGGGCAGCTTCCGGGGCGCAAGAGAGCAGCAGTGCTATCGGCGGCGGGCTGTGAGGGGCGGAGTCCTCCTGTGACGTCACGAGGGCGGGGCGAGGGCGGCATCCGCAGCGGCTGGCCCCTCCCCCTGCTCCTGGCCCCCTCCCGCCCCTGCTCCTGCATAAGCGCTTTTCCTATTGCTTCTCTTCGGCCCAGGGCTTTGGGTTAATTGGTGCACAGGCCTGTTACTTAGCTAGCCCATCTTCCCAGAGAGCCAGTGTCTAATTTTAGTCTATTTCAAATTTTAACTGAGGCTACATAAGTAATACAAGCTCTGTGGCTTCCTAAGATGAACAGCTTTGTTAAAAGTTGGGGGTTGGCAGCAAGCACAGAAAGAACCCTAAATTCTGGTTGATTAAAGACCGCACTCTTGCCGATTGGCACTATTTGGTTTCAATTTGTTTTCTCTAATTCGTTATTCCTGATAATGAACTACTGCCTCTCAAGTTTGAGAGAACACAAAAATTCAGGGTGTTTTTGTTTTCATGGTATAGAGATTTTGAGGCATTCTAGGAGTAGGGAAAATTTGAGACTCATATGCAGTTACCCAGATATGGCCGGACCACTGGCATGTGGCCCTTCCCACTCACTGATTACTGAATGGAATTCACCTGGTTCCTTCCTTCCCGTAGAGTAGCCTAAGTTTTAAAAGTACCTAACAAGAGAAGCAGACTCCACCTGCGCCCCACCATGCTTCCCTTTGTATTTTCCTTCCCTAACATTTAATAAACTCCCTTTACACTCACGTGTCCTGCCATGGATTCTTCCTGGTGGGACAAAGATTTTGGAAGTCTTCTGATCAGACTTGCACCTGTGCTGTTAACAGTTTGAATTCAGGGCCTTGCATTTAGCAAATGCTCTACCACTTGAGCCACACTGCTTCAGCCCTTTTTGCTTTGATTTACTTTTCAAGTAGGGTCTCAAGCTTTTTACCCCTCTTGGGTGGGCCTAGGATCTTGATCCCCAAGTACCTGGGATTACAGATATGCATTACCACATCAAGCCTAAAGTTAAATTTTTGAAACATAAGTTAGCCATATCATTCCCCCAAAGTTATATTAAATTCAATGTTAAATAGTAATGTTTAAGGCATTACTGAGTTAGGAGGATCACAAGTTTGAGGCCATCCTGGGTAACTTAGCAAGACTCAGTCTCAAAATAAAATAAGGGCTGGGATGTAGCTCATGAAGCCCTGGGTTCAGTTCCCACTAATACACACTTTGTGTCATGCGCTGATGGCTCACACCTGTAATCCTAGCTACTCAGGAGGCAGAGATGTTTGGGTTCATCAAGAAAATCAGACAGCCTCAAAGTAGAACCAGTGGGGGTGCCTATTTAATCTCATAAACTTCAGCCATCCTTTGGCTTAGCTCTTTCACTAAGTCCCACCCATCAGGGTGGTTTCCTATCCTTTCAATAAACTTTGGGCTTGTTTACTCTTAACTCCCGGCCTGTGACATAAATTTGCTTTAACTCTTTAACTGCTTGCCTGGTGCCTTCAATCATCGACTGCTCTAGGGCACGAACTCGGAACAACAATCCAATCCAGTATCAGCAGCACATACTCTAAAATTTGGCTAAAAGCAATTATTAGGCCAAAGACATTAACATGAAGTCAACAGAAAAAGAAATTCAAATCATCATATCAGTAAGTGCAGAAAAAGCCTTCAACAAAATTCAACATCCTTAAGGCTGGTGGAGTAGCTCCAGTGGTAAGATCGCTGGCCTAGCAAACATGAGGCCCTGAGTTCAAACCCCAATGCTGCCCAAAAATAATAAATAAATAAATCTATATCCTTTCATGATAAAAGCTCTGAAAAAACTGAATAGAAGGTGTAAGGAACTGCCAAACAAAGACCACGCCATGTGTAGAAAAAGAAAGATTTATTGGGGGCCAGGCTGCCTGGCTGACTCTCTCAGGTTCAGAGTGCAGCAGTTCGGCTAGAATGGGTAGTGGGCTTTATAGGAGGGGCCGCACTGCAGAGGAGGGACAGTGTTCCTCCCAGAGAACAGACAGGCCGCTGGCCTCTGTTTTTCTGTGATCACCAGATAGAACAGTTTGACGTGCTTAGCTAGTTGAGAAATGGGAAGTTCCTGCAGCTTTGCAAGCAGGGAAACAAGTGGTCATAAATCAGGGGGTCTGGTTTCAGTGTTAGCCTTGGGACTCTCCACCTGCCCCAAGAATGCCAGGGACCTAACAGAAGGCACATCCCTCAACATTATAAATGCTATATATGACAAACCTGTAGCTAGTATCATACATAATGGGAAAAACTGAAACCATTTCCTCTAAAATCAGGGACGAGGTTAGGGTCTTCACTCCCCCCATTCTTATTCAACATAGCATTGAAATTCCTATCCAGAGTAATAAGACAGGAGAAAGAAATACAAAGAATTCAAATAGGGAAGGAAGAAGTCAAATTGTCCTTATGTGCAGATGATATGATCTTATACCTGAAAGACCCTAAAAATTCTACCAAAAGAGCTGGCAGTGTGGATCAAGTGGTAAGAGCACCTGCCTAGCAAGCGTGAAGCCCTGAGTTCAAACCTCAGCACACACACAAAAAAAAGAAAAAAGACTATCAAAAGACCTTAGAGCTCATAAACACATTCAGCAAAGTAGCAGGATACAAAATCAATGCACAAAAGTCAGCAGCATTAAAAAAAATAAAGTAGATTACCCTAATACCAAAACAAGATAAAGGTGCTTCCAAAGAGCCCAAGAAAGTTATAGCCAATATCCCTAATGAATACAGATGCAAAAATCCTCAATAAAATACTTGCTTACAGAATCCAACGACATACTAAAAAGATCACACACTGTAATCAAGTAGGTTCCATCCCAGGGATGCAAAGATGGTACAACATATTCAAATCAATAAATATAATACAACACATAAACAAAAAAAATAAATAAATAAATAAATAAAGTATAGTAGACCCACACACACAAAAAAAGTCAGTGGCATTTCTATACACAATGAACAGTCTGAGAAAGAAATAAAACAATATCATTCACAATAGCTTCAAAAAATTACAATACAAGCTGGGCGCTGGTGGCTCATGCCTGTAATCCTAGCCTCTCAGCAGCAATCAGGAGGATGGAGGTTTGAAGCCAGCCTAGGCAAATAGTTCATAAGATCCTGTCTCAAAACTATCTGACACAAAAGAGGGCTGGATGAATGGTTTAAGTGGTAGAGCACCTGCCTAGCAAGTGTTAAAAAAAAAGATGGAAGGACATTGCATGTCCATGGATGAGCAGAATCAATATTGTGAAAATGGCTATACTACCAAAAGCAATCTATATGTTTTCTGCGATCTTTATCAAAATTCCAATGACATTCTTCACCAAGATAGAAAAGTCAATCCTAATATGGAAGCACAAAAGACCTCGAATAGCCAAAGCAATCCTGAGCCAAAAGAGCAATGCTGGAGATAACACAGTACCTAACTTCAAACTATACTACAGAGCCATAGTAATAAAAACAGCATGGTACTGGCTACAGCCATCTGATTTTCGACAAAGGAGCCCAAAATATGCATTGGAGAAAAGACAGCCTCTTCAACAAATGATGCTGGGAAAACTGTATATCCACCTGCAGAAGACTGAACCTAGATCCCAGTCTCTCACTTTGTACTAATACCAATTCAAAGATCTTAAGGTAAGCTCTGAAACAGTGAAATTGATTCAGGAAAAAATAGGGAACACACTGGACCACATAGACATAGGTATTAACTTTATGACTAGAACTCCAATACCTCAGAGTTAAGAGAAAGGATGGTCAAATGGGACTGCATGAAACTAAAAAAGCTTCTGCACAGCAAAGGAAACAGTCACTTGGCTAAAGAGCCCACAGAATGGGAGAAAAATCTTTGCCAGCTATACATTTGACAAGAGATTAATAACCAGAATATACAGGGAGCTCAAAAAACCAAACCCAGAAAGAATCAATAATCCACTGAATAAGTGGACAAATTCTCAAAAGAGAATTCTGAACGGACAATTTGTACAAAAGAAGTACAAATGGCCAATAAATATGTGAACAAATGCTCACCATCCATGGCCACAAAGGAAATGCAAATCAAAATGACATTGAGATTCCACCTCACTCCAGTCAAAATGGCCATCATCAATAACACAACAACAAATGCTGGTAGGGGAAGGGGGAAAAGGAACCCTTCTACAATGTTGGTGGGAATGTAAATTAGCGCAACTGCTATGGAAAGCAGTATGGCGGTTCCTCAAAAAACTCAAAATAGACCCACCATACAATCCAGTGGTACCACTCCTAGGCATATACCCACAGGAATGTGTTTCAGAATATAATAGAGTCACTTGCACACCCATGTTTATTGCAGTGTTATTCACAATAACCAAGCTTTGGAAACAGTTTAGATACCCCACAAATGATGAATGGATTAAGAAAATGTGGTAGCTGGGCACTGGGGACTCACACCTGTAATCCTAGCTACTTGAGAGGCAGAGCTCAGGAGGATCGAGGTTTGAAGCCAGACTGAGCAAGTAGTTTGAAGACCTTATCTTGCAAATACCCAACACAAAACAGGGCTAGCGGAGTGGTTCAAGTGGTAGAGCGCCTGCCTAGCAAGCGTGAGGTCTTGAGTGCAAACCTCAGCACCACCAGGAAAAAATGAAAAAGGTGCAAAAGATATATATATATATATATATATATATATATATATATATATAGTCATTGCTTTTGCATAAGAAAGGAGTATACATAATAATGTATTTGTAGCCACGTAAGAACCAAGATACTCAAGTGTGATAGAAACACCAAACAGGTCAGCCTGGACTGAAGTTAGTATTACAACCAGGATATTGGCATTGAGAGAGTCAAGATACAGAATAACTACTACACACCACAGGACCCTTCCTCTTACACCCACCTCTCTCCTACCCACATCCTTCCTTATCCCTGGCAATCACTAACTTGCTCTCCATTTTTATAATTTTATTATTTCAAGGATACTATATTAT